GTCCCTGCTGGGATGTGCTGGGCTATACTGGGATGTGCTGGGCCATACTGGGATGTGCTGGGCCATACTGGGATGTACTGGGCCATACTGGGATGTACTGGGCCATACTGGGATGTGCTGGGCCATACTGGGATGTACTGGGCCATACTGGGATGTGCTGGGCCATACTGGGATGTGCTGGGCCATACTGGGTCATACTGGGCGATGCTGGGATGTACTGGGTCATACTGGGCCATACTGGGATGTGCTGGGCCATGTTAGCCTGGAGTGGGCACTGTGGGGTGTGCACAGGAGATACTGGGCTGAACTGGGCTGGACTGGGCTGGGCTGAACTGGGCTGGACTGGGCTGAACTGGGCTGAACTGGGCTGGACTGGGCTGGACTGGACTGGGCCGAACTGGGCTGAACTGGGCTGAACTGGGCTGGAGTGGGCTGGAGTGGGCTGGACTGAACTGGGCTGAACTGGGCTGGACTGGGCTGGACTGGGCTGAACTGGGCTGGACTGGGCTGAACTGGGCTGGACTGGGCTGGACTGGGCTGAACTGGTGGATGTGAATCTGTACTGGTCCATACTGGTCTGTACTGCTGGTGCATGTGGGTCTATAACGGTCCGTACTGATGGATATGCAGACTGTACCGGTCTGTGCTGGTCCGTACTGGTCTGTACTGGTCTGTACTGGTCCATACAGGTCTGTACTGGTCTGTACCGGTCTGTATGGTCCATACTGGTCTGTACTGGTCCCTACTGGTCCGTACTGGTCTGTACTGGTCCATACCTGTCTGTACTGGTCCGTACTGGTCTGTACTGGTCTGTACTGGTCCATACAGGTCTGTACTGGTCTGTACCGGTCTGTATGGTCCATACTGGTATGTACTGGTCTGTACTGGTCCGTACTGGTCCGTACTGGTCCGTACTGGTCCATACTGGTCCATACTGGCCTGTCCCTGTCCCCACAGGCCCCACGGCGACGCCCAGACAGGACCAACATGGAGCCCTGAGAGGAGGTACTGGGACAACTGGGAGAACTGGGATCACTGGGACCTAGCTGGGATCACTGGGACCTAGCTGGGATCACTGGGACCTAGCTGGGATCACTGGGACACAACTGGGATCACTGGGATCACTGGGACCTCACTGGGAGAACTGGGATCCACTGGGATCTTGTGTGTTGTGGGATCAGGTGGGATCAGGCAGGATCAGGTGGGATCAGGCGGGATCAGGCAGGATCCGGTGGGATCAGGCGGGATCAGGCAGGATCCGGTGGGATCAGGCGGGATCAGGCAGGATCCGGTGGGATCAGGCGGGATCAGGCAGGATCCGGTGGGATCAGGCGGGATCAGGCAGGATCCGGTGGGATCAGGCGGGATCAGGCAGGATCCGGTGGGATCAGGCGGGATCAGGCAGGATCAGGTGAGATCAGGCAGGATCAGGTGGGATCAGGCAGGATCAGGGGAGATCAGGCAGGATCAGGCGGGATCAGGTGGGATCCGGTGGGATCAGGCGGGATCAGGTGGGACCCGAGAGGATCTCTCAGGATCCCTTGGCACAGAGGGGATCCCGGGATTGTGTGGGGTGCCCCAGGGCCCCCTGGGATCTCATGGGGAAAGGGAGAGCGCGGGATCCAATGGGATCTCCTGGCACCCCCTGGGGGGATCCCACGGGCGGGATCTGGGGAGATCTGACGGGATCCGATGGGATCTGGGGAGATCTGACAGGATCCGGGGAGATCTGACGGGGTCTGGGGAGATCTGACGGGATCCGGGGAGATCTGACGGGATCCGGGGAGATCTGACGGGATCCGGCGGCTTCTGACCACGGGACGGCGGGATCCGCCGGGATCCTCCGGGATCCGCCGTGACCCGCCCGTTCCCCCCGGCAGGCGCGGCCGTGGGGATGGCGAAGCTGCTGGTGCCGCTGGTGGTGCTGGGGGCCGTGTCCGGGGCGGGGGTCCCGGTGTCGCCGCCGTCGCCGCGGTGTCCCCCGCGCTGCCTGTGCCCCGCGGCCGCGCCCAGCCCGACGCTGCTGTGCGCCCGCACGGGGCTGCTGGCGGTGCCGCCCAGCCTGGACCGCGGCGCCGTGGAGCTGCGCCTCGCCGACAACTTCATCGGCGCCGTGGGGCGCGCAGACTTCGCCAACATGAGCAGCCTGGTGCACCTGACGCTGTCGCGGAACGGGCTCCGCCGCCTCGCCCCCGGCGCCTTCGCCGACCTGCGCGCCCTGCGAGCGCTGCACCTGGACGGGAACCGGCTGCCCGCGCTGAGCGGGCCGCAGCTCCGCGGGCTGGCCAGCCTGCGCCACCTCATCCTGGCCAACAACCAGCTGGCCGCCATCGACGCCGCCGCCTTCGCCGCCTTCGCCGCCACCGTGGAGGACCTGGACCTGTCGCACAACAACCTGCCCGCCCTGCCCTGGGACGCCGTGGCCGCCATGGGCAGCCTGGCCACGCTGACGCTGGACCACAACCTGCTGGAGCGGGTCCCGGCGGGCGCCGTGGCGCGGCTGCCGCGCCTGGCCCGGCTCGACCTGACGGCCAACCGGCTGCGGGCGCTGCCGCCGGTGCCGGGGCCGCCGGGGCCGGCGCTGGCGGCCGGGGGGAACCCCTTGCACTGCAACTGCGAATTGCTGTGGCTGCGCCGCGTGGCTCAGCCGGGCCGCCTGGAGACGTGCGCCACGCCGGCGCCGCTGGCCGGGCGGCTGCTGGGAGCCGTGCCCGAGGAGGAGCTGACCTGCCGGGCCCCCGCCGTCACCGCCGCCGCCGCGCACCCGCCCGCCGTCACCGAGGGGCAGCCGCTGCGCCTGGGCTGCGCCGCCGTCGGGGACCCGCCGCCCGCGCTGCACTGGCTGGGCCCCGACGGGCGCGTGGTGCAGAACGGCTCCCGGCGCTCGGTGGGCGCCGACGGCTCCCTGGAGCTCCGCGTGGCCACGCTGAGGGACCACGGCGGCTTCACCTGCGTGGCCGCCAACGCGGCGGGCGAGGCGGCGGCGCGCGTGGACGTGGTGGTGGTGCCGCTGCCGGTGCCGCGGGGACGGGACGGGAACGGGGAGGCCGCGGCTCCCGAGGCCGGGCCGGGGCCCTCGGATATGGCCCAGGCGGGCGGCAATGACACCTGGGGGGGACCCGGGGAGCGGCGGGTGGTGGCGGCGGAGGTGACCGGGTCCTCGGCGCGCATCCGGTGGCTGCCGCAGCGCCACGTGCCCGGCGTGCGCATGGTGCAGATCCAGTACAACAGCTCGGCCGACGACGCCCTCGTCTACAGGTGGGGGCCAGGGGGGTGTCCCCGAGGGGCCGGGGAGGGTCTGAGGGAGGTTCCGGTGGCTCTCGGGGAGACCTGGGGGGGCCTCTGGGGGGAGCTGAGGTGGGTTTTGGGGGGCCCTGTGGGACTCCAGGGGCAGCTGGGGAGAGCTTGGGGGGCTCTGGGGGGAGCTCAGGGGGGTTTGGGGCAGTGCTGGGGGCGGGTCGGAGAGGTTCAAGTGGGTTTTGGGGGGCCTTGAGGGCTCCAGGGGGGTCTGGGGAAGGTTTCCGCGTTCTGGAGGGTTCTGGGGGAGGACGTTCAGGTGCGCATTGGGGGGTCCTGGGGGGGCTCTGAGGGGATGTGGGGGATTTCAAGGGAATTCTGGATGTCTGGGAGGCTCTGAGGGGATGTGGGGGATTTCAAGGGAATTCTGGATGTCTGGGAGGCTTCAGGGAGGTCCCCGGGAGGTCTTGGGGTCGCTCAGGGAGGTCCTGAGGAGTCTTTGAGGTGTTGGGGGGGGGATTGAGGAAGTGTTTTGGGGGATCCTGGCTGGCTGTGGCGTGTCTTTGAGGGCTTTTGGGCGCCTGCAGGGGGGCGAAATGGGGGTGCCGGGGTCTCGCGCCTCCAGCCCCGACTCCCCCTCGCCCCCTCCCCAGGTTGTTGCCCCCCTCCAGCCGCACGTTCGTGCTGCGGGACTTGGTCCCCGGGCGCCTGTACGAGCTCTGCGTGTCCACGCTGCGCGTTCTCGGGGACCCCCCCGCCGCCCCCCGCCCGCTCGGCTGCGTCTCCTTCGCCACGGCCGCCGCTCCCCCGGGCTGCGCCGCGCCCCCCCGGCCCCACTTCTTGGGGGGCACCGTCATCATCGTCATCGGCGCCGCCATCGCCGCCTCCGTGCTCGTCTTCATCCTCATCCTCACGGCGCGCTGGAAGGCGGCGGGGGCGCGGCGCCCCCCGCCCGCGCTCACCAGCGTCTGCTCCCAGACCAACGGCGGTCCCCGGCCCGCCGAGACCCCCGAGCTGCCCCCGCTGCCCCCGCTGCCCCCGCCCGCGGCCGGGGGTCCCGTGGCTGGGGGGGCGCGGGGGTTGTTCCCCAGCCACAGCTACCCCCGGCGGGCGCGGCCCCGGCGCCACGGGTCCCTCCCGCGGCTGGACGCGCCCGAGGGGAGCCCCCTGGGACCCCCCCTGCGCCCCTCGTTCGGCAGCACCCACTGGATGCTGGAGAGCACCGTCTGAGGGGGGGGAACGGTGGGAACTCCCCCCCCCGATCCCCTCTCTTGTGTTCTTCGGCGGCAGCACCCGCCGGGACCCCCCTTGGGCGGCTACCCCGGGTGCTCCCGGGCGACCGACCCCAGCCCCGGCGGCTCTTGTTGGGGGGGGGCGTCCGAGCTCGCCCGGGTGCCCCCCCAGACCCATTTGGGGTCCCCCGTGGGTACCTCCAGGTGCCATTGGGAACCCCCCAGGTACCCCTCCCCTGCCCTGGGGGTACCTGTATGCAAACCTCCCCCCCCCGAAAAACCCGCGTGGGGACCCCCGGCCTGTGCGGGCACCGCCACACGCGTGGGGACCGCGACAGGGGCCGCGACAGCAGCGATGGGGGCTCGGGTGCGCCCCGAATCGCGCCTGGCGTGTCCGGAAACCTTCCCCCCCCCCCCAAAAAAAACCCGGACACTCGCCCGGGACTCGCGCGTGTCGCCCCCACGCGTGTCCGACCCCCCCTGCCCCCCCGGAATGCGCACTTGGGACTTGTGTGTGCGCCCCCCAACATTTGTGTGCCCCCCTCGCCCCCCGCGGTGCCTTCGGCCGGGCCGGGGGGGACCCCGCACACGCCCCCGACATCTCTGCACAGATGACACGAGACCCGCAGCCCCCCCCGCAAAATACCCCCCCCCGTGGGGAGGGGGGGGGGAAAAAAAAAGGGGGGGGCCCCCCCGGATGCCTGGGGACCCCCCGTGTGTCCCCCCCCCCCCGCGGCCTCTGCCCCCTCCCCAACTCGACCCGGGGGTTCCTATCTGGCTGGTCTGGATAACCCTGGGGGGGCCCCCCCAGCCCCCCCCCATTTCTCTCCCAGCCCGATTTCCCCCCCCTAAAAGCCTCAGCTCATCCCCCTCCCCCTCCCCAGAACGCCCCCTCCCCACCAGCCGCCCCCCTCGGGACCCCCGCAGTGTTTAACACGAGTTTTTACATTAAAAACCTGTGCCCCCCCCCCGGGGCAGAAACACGACTGTG